GTGTGATGGTTTCAGTTCGGTGCCTCTTTCCTCCCGGTTGTCCCTGTGCGGTCTGGTTGGAGATCGGGTACACGATTGGATTCAATTCTCTCATTTCCATAAAAACAGGCGGGCTGCAAGTCACAGCTCGATCACTCACTCACCAGCAGGCATTCCCTGGTAGCTCCATTGTTTCTGYCACTGATAACATTTACCTTGGGAAAAGAAGGCGCCAACTATCCAGAGAGGATAGCTGAAAGAAATCCATCGCTGAAAAATCTTTTGATCTTTTTATTATATTTGGAAGGTTGATTTTTTTCTTTTTCTACCCATAATTTTCTTTTCATTTTCTATCCAGAATCTCTCCACGTTAATTTTAATTTATAAATTTAAATCCATTAGAACACAGTAAAGTGACAATATTCCATAGATCCACCAGCAACACACCAATTCTTATTTTGTTTCTAAATTCTTGCCCTGACTACCCCATCACTCCACCTGGAAAGTACTGTGTGAGACACAGCACTGTTGACTTGACATGTCAGCCCTTTTTCCTATTGAAAGAGTGATATAAAATCATCATGTAATGCCTACTACAATCAGAAGGAGCCATGGAAAGAGCAGGGCATAAGCTGCCTTTACAGATGGGAAATAATATCCCGAGGTCAAATGACAYAATCCTGGAATTAATGACCCATCAAGTACAAGTCCCTGTAGGGATTGCCTTTTAGTCTGACAAATAGCATTATATAAAAWCTCCAAATGTTTTCTTGAGTGAATCTAGTCAGAATCTAGTTTGTCCTGCCTAAATATATTTGTTTGAATGCCTTCTCAAAGATTTTTTCAAGGCAAGATTGGATGGAGCTCTGAGCAACCTGGTCTAGTGAAAGGTGYCCCTGCCCATGGYAGAGAGGYTGTAACTGGGTGATCTTTAAGGTCCCTTCAAACCCAAACCATTCTATGATTCTATGATTCAAATGTTCACCATTGGCTTAAAGAAGTGATTTTTGGGATACTCTGAAAATTTAGAAATACAACAGAACTATCTGTGGCTGTGAGAACTCATGGTATTAAGCATTGGTCTGGATTTATAACTCTCTGGATGTTTAAATCTTACCTGTCATACAGTTTGGTTCAATTAAGGTAGGTAGTGTTTTTAAAAAGTATGGGGGAAGGCCCTTTCCTTTCCTTTCCTTTCCTTTCCTTTCCTTTCCTTTCCTTTCCTTTCCTTTCCTTTCCTTTCCTTTCCTTTCCTTTCCTTTCCTTTCCTTTCCTT